TTCAGAGCTTAAAGGGCAGCAATTCCCGTCCAAAACAAATCTTGGAAAATAAAGAAACAAAGAGTTATACCCAAAAACTTATTTTGCACGTTTTAACTGTCTTTACACGTTTGCATTGGTTCAAGTATGAAAGACCCATGGCTCAATAAATTGATGAATGCTAGTTGAATTGCTCTTAAACTTTCTAAGTTTTATCTATACATTTCAAATCCTTCAATTACATTGTTTATTAAACCATTTTATAGTTTCTAAGCATAAACTATTTTGAATAGCTAGAACCTTATATTTCTGAGTCCAAGAGATGTGTATCACCCTGTATGACCATTTATCTCTAAACATAAAATAGCAACAATATAGGAATTACATGCCCATGTAACTATACGGGCGTGTACACGCTTGATCACTACTATACAAAAATTACCAGTTGCTTCGTAATGACTAGTTGACTTTTCAAGGTCTTTTGGGATATACTACCTCATCTTTCACCCTATTTGATCATAGATAGATATTCAATTTCAACTACCAAAACTAATAAAAAAAGATTAAAAAAACATTTTAATGCCTTTAAGTGTTTATTTCATCGTATTCTTTAAGCCAAGTCTCCTCTCTTATTATTTCTCATTCCTAAAGAGTTTTGTTGTTGCTCTACTACTATTACGAGTAAAAATTAAGTCCTGCAATTGCCTTTTCCAATTGTTGTACAAACCAAGCCTTGGTGTAGACTGCGAGATATTCCCTTGCCTAGAACCAAAATGTGTGAGAGTACTCCTTGCCCTCTGAAGGAAAGTAGGGAGGTCTATTAGGCGTCACTATCATTATGCAAAGGAGTGAAATTCCAAAAGTTCAACACTTGAGACTTAGACATAGGCAATTCATGTTGAACAGCAAAAACATTAATTTAGATTTCTTTCTTTCAAATTCACATGTGTATTGTTCTTTATTTTACATCACCAACCATCACCACACTAAAACTCACAGTGAATTTAAAATTTTTTATTTCATTTCATAAACTCAATTAAACCTCATTGTGGATTTTGAGCCATACTTATCAGATTATGTCTTGATGATCTAACTATTCTTCTCACTTATGTTATCTTACATTTTTAGAAGGTTTTGCCATTAAATAACTGCCTTTTGGAACTTTTAAAGATTCTATGTTCCATACATATTTTATTCCCATAAGAAAACACTTTTATTTCAGTCCTTGTCCAATTCCTCAGTACCACTTTTCCATGCACCCTTTTCCTTATTAATATTATTCTAACAAATGAACTAGAAATCCATCAAGTTTCAGATTGTAAACTTCTAAATATAATAAAAAAATAACGATTAAAAAAAGAAATCTATTCCTGTGGCAACACTGATTCCATCACAAGGTCATTTAGGATTTAAAACATCAATCACAGCATGTTATTTTGATTATTAGGTATACACATGAGTGTCAATATAGGCACGAAATGAACAATTGACCCCAACCCAGCAAAAAAATGTCAAGTTTGGGCAACCTAAGTAGAAATCAATTCTAGCTAGGGTTAGCTTTAAGTGAAATGAAAAAAAGTCAAATCATGTTCGGATTGAGTAATGGAAGAGTTCGAATCAACCCAAAAATACTAAGTGTTTTTTATTAAAAACCCATCTAATACAAATCAGATAAGTGTATCTAATTTGTGTCGACTTGACGCTAAATCAGCACAATTTAAGTTCTTCTCATGTTTTCTCTGGTTAACCGACTTTGGGTTTAATCAAATTATCTTAGGGTTAAAATTTTCCACCCATTCAATATAACATGTCAAGTTAACTCTATTTGAATTGGAACATTTTTGGGTCAAACCAAATCCCATGCACTAATCTGATTTACACCCAAAAAACAAGCAAAACTAATTGTGCGCTAGCCAAAAATGATCTAAGCTCTAAATTTTTTCAAAGAAAAATAACATCAATATTTTTTTATCTTACATCTTTTATAGTAGTTAATTGAGAGAGAAAAGAAATGAAATATAACCATAAAATGAAATATTTATGCAATGGGCCAGCTTAACCTAGTTGAATATGAATGTTGATGGTAACAACAGAGAAAAAACCGATGATAATTTCACTTGTAAATAGCCCATGGCATAAATAAAATAGTCTTGAGCACAAAGCTTCAAGTCAAAACAACCTCATTGATGGATATTAAATACGTGTCGATAATGATTTCACTTATAAATAGCCCGTGATATAAATAAAATAGCCTTGACACAAAGCGTCAAATCAAAAGTACCTCATTGATGGATATTGGATATGCATGGTGGAATTCACAAATCATTTGAGACAACATTCACATGCTTTTAGGTCTAGTACAAAGTATAAAAGGTTTGAGAAATAGAATGGTTGCACTCACTATTTTCATAATTTAAAGATTGAACATCAGCCCAACAAAAAAAAAAAATCAAAAAATATGATTCAAAAAATATGATACAAACAAGTACAAACAAGTAAATGTAAAAATTATTGAATATGTGTATTTGTGTGCAACAAAATCAAATCATTAAGAAATTGAAGAATAAAAATGTGTTTTGTAGTGAATTTTAGAATTTTTTAATAAATTTAACAAATGGAGGTAAGAAGTTGGCAGTTTTGAAACTGGCAATATTTGAGTGCTACCCAAAAATTCTCCTTATTTCTTTCATACGTTTGAAGTCAAACAGAAATGAACACAGGCACATGTAATAAAAGTTAAAAAAATTGATCTAATTTCATGATAAAGTTGTCAATTAAAAAAATTTACTGAATTTCCCTCCCACCAATCAATAACAACATTTATAAATTGCTATAAAACCCATACTAAGAGGACAGGCATGAAGACAACCCATAGGAAAATCCATCAAAAGTTGGAAATGGTATTACAACAAAAAAGAATTGGAGAAAATTTGATAACTGTTTAATTCAATCATTTATGCAAAATTCATACAAGCCTAAGAGAACCTCTAGTGTCAAGCGTTCAAATTTTAAGGGTTGAAACTTAACTATAGAATTTAATTACAATAAAATAACCTATTGATTGGAGAGGTAGCGATCAAATAGATCATTGGGGTGGCAACCACACAACAAAAAAATGGTGAGTGGATCAAAAGATGGCTAGCGGGAAGCGAGGAAGTAGGAAAAAGTCAGCTGAGCAGACGAAGAGCTAGATGTGAACTAGTTGAGGTAGACGGCAATAGCTGATACAAACAACTAGTTACATCGAGAAATTCATAGGACAGATTTCAAAACTAATTTCAATATTCCATGCCATGAGAATGAATGAATGTTATCTATTCCAAGTTTGCATGTCAGCATTTGCAGAAATACCCCTGATAATCCTCAGGTGAGATTGTCCTCAAGTAGTTCAACTGTGCTAACAAATGTAATACAAATTCGGCTATTTTTTATAAAATGCTTTCCAACTAAAAAATATACTTAGTATGGTTATGTTACACAATATTATGTGCAATATTAATGGATAACTTATAATCATAATCAAATATCACAAGACCTCCCATTCATTTTTTTGAATCTTTCAAGAAAATTTAAAGTCATATTAAGTTACTGATTCTTAGCATCTTAGATCTAAATTAGGCTTCTACACTAGATCTTGCTATCATATTATATTTTTTCTCCAAGTCACAAGGTCGCCCTACCAAAAATTTGCAATATTATAAAGTTAACCTCCTATTAATCATACTCCTATAAACTTTAAGTATCAGATCCTTCCCCTTTTTGAATAAAACTGATTTACCGAGTCACTGCCTATCAAACCAAAAAACTGGATCCCAAATTACATGTCTTTCAACAAGCTAAATTCTTGAAGTAACTTTTTTTCTTTAAAGTCTTCATTTTTTCCGAGTCACTGCCCATCAAACCAAAAAAATATAAGCCCCCCCAAATGAAGTCCAATAAGTGTCAGGCTTCAAATGAAAAGTAATGAGTTCCTTCTCAAAACCAAAGCAAAGTTGTTATGAGCAGAGATTTATTTTATAATTTTTTAAGTAAACATTTTAAACAAAACTTAAGGATGCTTTATGTTAAATCCTACAAAACTCCTACCAATGGGCTTCTAAATTCCAGAAAAAAATAAATCCGAGAATTAGCATGATTTGATATGTCTCAGCTCATTTATGAGATTTATCTAATTCAACTTTGACTGCAATTCAAGCGATTTTACTTCACTTCGCCTATCTCGTTCACCTGCCTAGCCCTTTTTGGCTCTCTTCTGCACCTGCCTCCCAAACCCTTTCTTGCCAAATCTCCATCTCTATGAGCCATTCTTAACTGTGACTCTCCCTTGACTGTGATCCCCTACATGCTCCAACCATGGCTAGAAGTCGATCATGGTATATGGCGCAAATTTTTCTTCACGGTTGTTGAATTCTTTCATGACTTATCTTACTATTTCTTTGTTCCTGTTATGCAACCCACAGCTATCGGCAAGTCAAAGTGATCTGATTGTAGATTTTGTGATAATTTAGTAGCTTAAGGTACGGTAACCAAACATTTTTTAGCAAACAAACAACTCTGTGGATACATACATCAAGATTTACTAAATCCAAGTTAAATAGAATTTACCAAATCTAGATTTACTTAATCCTGCATGAAGCACATGCTAATCGTACCCCCTCTCCCCCAACCACAGCTCAACGCTACTTATCATCATCTTCATCCATGCATTATTCCTTGATCCACAAACAGCCAAAAAATAACAGGAGTTACACCACCTTCACACTATTTCACCGCAAAACATCCAGACTTTTCTCAACAGAAAATCCAAGGACCCAAGAAGATTACAGATTGATCCAACAAGAAAGAAACTATACAATAACAAACCCCCAAACCAGGCCTTGCCCTAAATTCTAACAAAGAACGAATGCCACCAACTATGAGAGACACAGATCAAGAAGTAATGCAATCCGATTAACAAATGGATCGAGCCGAGCCTCCATAACATCAAGAAAATCTAGAAGCGATTGGTTCGCATAACTAACCTTTTGAAAATCCGCCGGCGCGACGCCGGGGAGATAGAAGCCATTTCCCCTAACGACGAAGAACGCGAGCACCAACGCGATCCACGGTAGAATCGCCAGAGATCGAGCGGCCTCCATCCCCGAGAGAAAACGAATCAAGCTCTGCACAGGAGGAGGGGACGATCAAGCCAAAGAGAACTATCTTAAAGATCTGACCCAAATCCTATTTCTTTTTTTTTT